AAGAAGAAGAAGAAGAAGAAGAAGAAGAAGAAGAAGAAGAAGAAGAAAACAAAGGTATTTAGTATCATATTATTTAACTCAATTATTTAAAAGTTTACCTAAAATTTTATTGAATAAATAGTTCTGTCATTCATTTGTAAGTACCTTTGGTTTATACAAGCTATCACAATGTTATCTCTAATCTCCTTACCCTATAGCAGCTACTACCAGAAACATACCGATAATAACTTATTTTTGGCGAATGACGAAGGTGGCTTCATTCTGACAGTTTAAAGTTTGATCTAGACATGGAAGATCTGGCTTTGTTCCTAGCCTGGGGTTAGATTGTTTGTGGAAAAAAATTGTAGAGGCAATTTTTTTCCTACATGTCATTTATGTGTTTTTGTACAGGCGGTCATGCTCCCTTTTCATGGTCTTTTACATGGTCTTTTAACTATTACATGGTCTTTTAAATAAAAGACCAATTACATGGTTTTTTAAATATTGTAAATTGCCCAAAGTTTTTTGTGAGTGAGGCAGCCTCAAAATCCAATAAACTAAATTTATTGTACTGAATAGAATTGAAAGTTTACTGTCAAAAAATATAATCTTGGAGATGGACAATGGTAACACAGGAAAATAATGTATAGCTTTCCTAACTGCTAACACGTTTAGTTATTGTAAGATTTGGGATTGCAAAACTGAAGCCTACATTTGAGTATCAAAGATCATTGGATGACTTTTGGCCAACCACTATCTTTAATCAGCTTCAAAGTATTGTTATGGAAATGAAAATAGAACTGGGAAGTCTGTCAGCTCAAATTCCTAAAAGAAAAGGAAGATATAAACCTAATAGATAAATAGACACATAAGTGAATATTATCTCCTATAATCTTTCTTCCTGGCTATATTAAGCTAAGAAATGACACAAATAATATCATTCTGTTACCCTTTTATATACAGCCAGAGCAAAGCTTCTGTTCCACTAATTCATGCCATCTACCTATATAAACTTAAATTCCTTATGTCCAAACTTGATATGTTAGTCAACAAGCAAGACTGATGAATTCCAATGTTTTACTGCAGATGAATCAGAAGAGTTTCTGAGTGAGTTGAGATTGTCCTAAAATACCTGAAAGTTTGGGATTGGATTGATTGTTGGCAGCCATGCAGATCTTGGATTTTCCTGGTACCGGAAAGGCCCATTAAAGGCTTGTGTAATAGCACTGAGATTGAAGGCACACACTGCTGAAGCAGCAATACTGTTTCTAGACACAAGGACAGAAAGGAAGAGAAAGGAAGAAAATCAATTTAATCTTTGGAGCATTGACACTTTCATCATAACAGACATCAAATCTCAGGAAAATAAATGACACATAGATTGCCAAGAAGCAGCACACAAGGCTATAGGCCTCAGAAGGGATGAAAAGAATCAACATGGATGAGATGACAATTAGGAGACATTGAAAAGCCACACACCCCCAAACATGTCAGGTGATTTAAGACTGGGAAAAGCAATTTTGACATGGAAAGTCACACACAGTTTAATTCACAAGGAATATTAATACTGATACCCCATCAATCCTGACTGGTAGTATGTGGGTTCAATTTTTAAACCTCTAGTTTATTTTTCAAGGTGAGATTTAATTTTAAGCTCCACAGGTTCCATTGCAACCTATTAATTTACCCTCTTGACGAAGTCCAGCCACATCTATAAAGTAGCCATTCTTGTTAGGGATACACACCCTAGCAGAATGTGCACGGTAGTCAGGCAGGCAGGCAGATATGTGAGATAAACGTTGTTGTAGCTTACACTCAGTAAAACAGATACACTGTGCCAGTTAAATAGTTTTTATTCCAGTAAGAGTTATAGCATAGTCAAACAGTCCATATATCTTACACTAAGTTCAGTCCGTCCAGGGATTATTCATTAGCAAAGTCCAGTGTCGAAAAAGAGGTCAGTAAACTTACAAATAATCAGTCCAGTAATATATCTCTTTTTGCAGTAGAGATATGAAGAAAATCAAACCTCTTTTCTTCATTTCAGCAACAGCAGGGAAAACAGGCAGTTATCACCATCAATCCATCATTGTCAGCAATCCAGTAAAAGCCAGCAAACAGTGAGCTCTCTTGCTCCCTCTTATGGTGATTTTACAACCGCACCCAAAATTACATTTGCTTTGCATTTAAAATGACACACACAATCATAGTCTATATATATTATTTTACCCAAACTAAGTTAGGTAACCATGTTATTCCTAACATTCTCCCCTTTTGGGTAATATAATAACATATATATCTATTTACAACTTTAACCCATAGTTGTCACAATTTTCTTTGTATTTGACTGAACCTTGGGCTTTTGTAAATTGATCAGCAAAATTTTCTTCAGTCATGCAATATTCCAATCTTATTAAACCATTTTTTACAGATTGTCTTATATTCAGATATCTAAGATCAGTATGCTTAGATCTCGTTTTTACAGCAATATTTGTAGCCAACCGTATGGCTGCTTGATTGTCCTCATAAACTACAATGGCATCATTAACAGTTATTCCCATATCTAATAACAACTGTTTATACAGAATTAAATCAGTACATAATAAAGATAGACATGAAAATTCTGCTTCCATTGTGGACATACTTATGTGTTGCTGTCTAATTGACCTCCAACCAATCAGTGCTTTACCTAATAGTATAGCCATACCTGAAGTTGATTTCCTAGTGTTTATGTCTGTTGCAAAACTTGCATCAGCATATGCACTTAAAATCAAATCATCTTTTGGCTCCAAATACAATGTATAGTGCATTGTCTTTTTAAGATACCTTAATATACGCTTTAGTGCTTGCCAGTGACGTTCAGTGGGTTCAGCGTTGAATCTTACCAATTGATTAACGGCATATGCAATGTCTGGCCTTGACCAATTACTAATATACGATAAACTACCAATTAATGACTGATAAATAGTCATCGAATTTTGAACTTTGAGCATCAGTTCGGCAAAATTCCTGACTCATTGGAGTTTTTTGCCGGCTTACAAAGTTCCATTTTATACGTTTTTAGCAATTGGTAAATTGTATCTTTTTGAGATATCTTAAAGCCACTCTTGGTTTTGTTTATTGTCAATCCTAAATACTGTCTTATCTCTCCTAATTGCTTTAATTTTATCCTCTTACCTAATAATGATATTATTTCAGTAGCTTCATTATTAGTCTTTGTAATTAAAGCAATATCATCTGTAAACAACAATAATAATGATACTGTTCCATTAGTCTCTCTCTTAAATAAACATGGATCAGCTAAACCTGCTTTAAACCCTATATTGTTTAACTCTTTAACAATATATTGGTTCCATTCATAACCAGATTGCTTTAATCCATAGAGACTCTTTTTAAGTTTCCAACAGTCATTATTAGTTTTATTATCCTTAATACCTACTGGTTTCCTTAAATATATAGTGTGCTGCAATGGTGCATGCAGATAGGCAGTTTCTACATCTAAGTGATTTATAATATAGTTTTTCTTAGCTGCCCACACTAAAGCTGCTCTCAAGGTTGTTGCCTTTAAATTTGGTGCAAATACTTCATCATAATCATATGCAGTTTGATTAAATCCTTGAGCTACCAACCTAGCCTTATGGGTAACAGTCCCATTTTTACCTGTTTTTAATTTAAATATCCATTTACAGCCAATGGACTTTTCACCTGGAGGTAATTTGGCATTTTCATAAACTTTCATTTCCTTTAATGAATTTAGTTCCTTCTCCATTGCCTTATGCCAATTTTCCTGTTCCTTAGCAGGATACATCCTAGGTTCTTCAACAGTATTTGGAACTTTACTAACTTGGCAAACTACACTTGCTTGATACCTGTCAGGTGGTCTGGTTACACGAGTAGAACGTCTAGGTATTACAGGGCTTACAGGTGGACTTTCATGTACTACCTGTTCCTGGTTATCTATTTCTTCCTCTTCATCTATTTCTTCCTCTTCTGATCCTATGTGCTCTTCCTGTACTTCCTCTTTAATTGGGCTCTTCTTATTACTGATTTGTTCTTTTGGTCTTTTGTAGGTTTCTATGATTACTTCCTTATTTGAATCTTGTTCCAGTTTTCCCCATCCTACATGTTCAAGGAATTGTGCACTAGCACTACAGTAAACTCTAGATGTACCTTTTTCCCAGAATCTGTATGATTTGTGATTAGATTCATAACCTACAAAGAATAACTTTTTAGCCCTATGCTGCCCCTTTTGTCTCAGTTGTGTAGGGATATGCACCCATGCTGGTGCTCCAAATGTATGCATGTAGCTTAGGTCAGGTTTTCTGCCATGCCACCGTGTGAATGGTAATTCACCTGTTGTTGAGTTAACAACATTATTCAATATATGATTACCACACATTATTGCTTCTCCCCACAAAGTTTCAGGTAATCCTGAAGCTGACAGCATAGTACGAGCTATTGCTTGTATTGTTTGGCCTCGTCTTTCTATAAAGGCATTATGCTGTGGCCTATATGGTGCAGACTTTTTATGTTCAACACCTGCCATCTTCAGTCTGTTTTGGAATTTATTGTTTATAAATTCCGTACCATTATCAGTTACAAGAGTTACTAATTTCCTTTTAGTTTTTCTTTCTGCAAATTTAAGCCAATTAAAGAAATTTTGATATGTTTCCGTTTTGTTCTTCATTAGATAACAGAAACCATATCTGGAATAATGGTCCATTATACTTAGTATATAACGAGCACCTCCCACACTTGGTTTTTTAGGACCTATAATATCAGCAAATACGACCTCTAGAGGTTCCTTTGTATTAAATCCATTTAATCTATTTGCTGGTATTACCTTGCTTTTTTCTTGACTACAAGTATTGCAGTGCAAATACTTACTGCAAGGCTTCAGTTTTATACCTTTAGACAGTTCAACCGTTTGTTTGAGCATTTTAAAATTTATATGCCCTAAACGTCTGTGTAACAAATGTATGCATTCATCATGAGGTTTAACATTATTATAAACTGTGTTAGCTACCTCGAATGAATTATCATTTAACACATACAATTCACCTTTTAAAGTTGCAGTCACTTTTTTACCTTCCTTTTCTATTATGCAGTTTTCTCCCCTAAAGGTAACTACATAACCTAGTTTAACCAAAACTCTAACCGAAAGCAAATTAAACTTAAGTTGTGGTACATATAACATTTTTACATTTTCTTTTATGCAAGAACAATGTGCAATACCTTCACCTTTTGCTTTCATTTTCCAGCCATTAGCTAACGATATCTGCTGTGAACTCGTGGACATCTTAACAGATCTTTTCTTATCTTTCGTTATGCAGTGCGATGCTCCACTATCTACAACCCATAAATTATTATTCACAGTTTCGTTGCTATACATGGCTAACTCAATGCATTTTTTATCCTTTTGATGCCTTTTAGCATTCTGGCTGGCATTGTTGCATTTTCCTTTCTTACAGAATCTAGCCAAATGTCCTTTTCCTCCACAATTAAAACATTTTCTAATTGTATAGGCTGACGAAGATATTTTCTCTTCTTCACATTGTGGTTGTTCCCTTCTGAGTTGATCCCTTTCAAGCCTTCTCCTGGCTTCTTCAATTAATCTGCCAGTAATGTCAGTTAGTGTAAGGTTATCTTTTGGCAGAACTTCAAGTGAAGTTACATAATCGTCATAACTCTCATCTAACAAAGACAAAATTATATAAACCTGATGCAGTTCTGTGAAGATAAGTTCTTTTTCATGTAGTTCCTGAAAAATTCTCTTCATAGTGTTTATATGACTCAGCATGTCTCCATTCTTTTGAAGATGTGTTCTGAACAGCTTTCGTGTAAGATTTATATGTGCTCCTACACTGTCTCGAACATAAATCTTCTTTAATGAATATGTTTCTTCTCCACGAATATGGACAAGCTGTTGGTCAGAGAGTGCCAGTCCTATTATACAGAGAACTTGCTCATTCTTCAGTTTATATTCTTGTATTTTCTGGGCATCATCCTCATCCTCTGGATCCCATGCATCTACCTCTGGTGGGTTTTGAATTATACTCCACAAACCTTCTCTTCGTAGAAGTAGGCTGCATTTCATAGACCATGAAACATAGTTTGTTCCATCCAGTTTGGATATGAGAGACAAACTTGGTAAATTGACTTGTGCCATCTTTCTCTGGATATTAAACTATAATTAATAAAACACAGCTGTCTGTTTATACAGTATTGTGTAACTACACAAACTCTCACTTTATATAAGCCTGTTATA